CGCCCCGCTGTGCTCCAGACCGGCTGCTCAAAGCAAAGCCTACAGCCTCCACTGTGGCTCCCGTCCGCTCTGCTCTGAGTCCCTTAGAGATGGTAGAGAGCATGCGCCAGATGATTACATTCAAAGCAGCAAAACATCTTGAAATGATCCAGGGTTTCCGCGGATCATTAAAAATAATTACAATCCATTCATTTTGTTGGATTTTTTCATTAATTTTTCATTTTTTCATAAATTTTCATTTTTTCATTAATTTTTATAATTAAACGAAACTGTGAACCAAACCAAACCGTGGATTTTGTGAACCGTTCCACCCCTAATAGTTATATGAGCGTATAAGCTTACTATAAGCTGCTGAAATCTACTGACTGTCTCCCACCAAACCTGTAGGGGGAGCTCTGCATATAGCCCCTGGAGTAACGACGACGAACAATGCTAGCTCCCGTTAGCTTGTTGGTTCGCTGCAGTAAGAGGTTCTTCTCGTCTTTAATTCAGCTCTGCAGGTGGCCGTGCTTCGGTGTTGCAGTGTTTGCGCAGACAACCCATGTATGGAGGCCTTAGGCCTCGACGCAGCCGACCAGGGTTCGAATCCCACCTGTGGTCCTTTGCTGCATGTCTGTTTTGAAGTGATAATTGAAGCACACTGAGGCCTAAATCGTCTTGCTGCCCTAACTGAGCTTATTGTGGTTCGACGTTTGACCATCTATTAGCATAGACATCGGAGCCACAGTTAGAGATGAGAGATCTCATAACGTAACAACAAACTACTGATTCCACAGGATCATGAAATATTGCCTTGTTTGTTTATCTTATATCCTGCTGTCAGACACACGTCCAGATATCGTCCCAGGGGGACAGAGATGTCCTGTGCTTTGATCAAATCAAGGAGAGACTCTTGCTATCTGCTCGGTAGAGCTGTAATTGACTGAACAATGAGAAAGTGTCGCTTGGCTAACAGGAGGCATGCTGCTATTTTAAGCTTCATGGCAGCTTTAGGGAGCTTCTCAGTTTAAATGAAATGTTAACTCCCTGAGCGCCTTCGCTCCACAGCCATTCCAGTCCCTGAGCTCTCAGGACGTTAAATGTCTCTGAGAGCAGAGGAGCTGTGGACAGAGACATTACTGACTGAATCCTAAAGATTTCTCACACAGAGAACGGCGGAAAGAAGGACCTAGCTGCCGCTAACTGTTATTACCTGGCATCCTGCGGTCAGGTTTGTGCTCCATCATCTTAAAGAGTTCAAGGTTCTTGATTAAAATAAAAAAAATAATCATACCTGCATCTATTTGCACTATTGAAAAAAACTCTTAATATGATCATTGTTGGCACAAATATTGGCACCGAATTATTGACAGAACCCTATTTTTTCTAAAGGACAGCACTCAGTCTTCTGTAATATTTTAAAATGTTTTAGCTATTTGTTTAAATAACCGATGCTGATATTTGTGCTTTAAACATCTGTGCTGCTGTAACGAGTTCAATACCGCCCACAGAACAATGCCTGTGATGCTGCAAGGGATTTACGATTATAAAAAATGAAATGGTGAAAATCGATGAGAATCGATTCATGTTTTTTTTTTCCTCTGGTCTATTTTTATCCATTTGCTCCTGGGCGTAATTCTCC